TTATTTCTTAATAAATTTGGTTTTTTAATATATGAATTTTGGGATAAAATTTTACAACGTCAATATTTTATTTTTAAAAATATATTATTATAATTTATACACTAAATTATTTTTATATTTTGACTTGTTTTATTTTTTAATATATATATATATATATATATATATATAGAGAGAGAGAGAGAGAGAGAGAGAGAGAGAACTAAAACGTATGTTTTTTATAGTTGTTTTAGATAGTTTGACTCAATTTTTTTTTTAAATAATGAGTTAAAAAATTTACAAGTTTTATTTGCTTATATATATATATATATATTTATTCAGAATTTATCGAATCAAATTTGTTGTAGTTTTTATTTTAATCTATTGACTTCAATAAATTTCTACAATTTAGGTGGATTTTTTTGTATATTTTTCTATTTATTCTCTATATTATCAATATGTTATATATACATATATTACAAATTAACTATATATATATATTCGATTTATATTAATCACGAAAAATAAAACTTTTTACCGATATGATAGTATACGAATCGTTAACTCTACATATGTAATGGTTGTTTGTCCACAATGCGGGTATCCGGCTAGTTCTTACTAAACTATTTTGCATAAATATTATTTAACAATTAGGACCCGCTTGTATTCGTTCATTCGTGCCATATAATTCAAATATCTTATTTGACTTTGTCTTTTTGTTTTTGCTTGTTACAGAACGGTTACGCCTGTGCAAAATTTCTATTTATGGACATTGACAGTGGTTAGCCTTAGTTTTTGAATGAGCAGTTCATTCTATTAAATCCATAATCCACATGTGTGTATATGTATTAGGGAGGCAGCCGGCTTATTAAATCCATAATCCATACGCTTGTATGTATTAAGAATGACAATAGGACTAGGCAGCCGGCTTGTTAAATCCATAATCCATACGCCTGTATATATTAAGAATGACAATAAATTGGATTTTTAAACAAATATATATTTCGTTTCGTTCTAATTAGTAGCTTGTTGACGATGATGGAACGAAAGCACCGATAATAGAGAATGTCTTTTCTGTTTTGGTAATGGGGATAATAAATATCGTTTATTAATAGATTTTTATAGTTAAGGTTAGAAGAATATATAAGGGCTATATAGTCATATTCAAAAAGTTTTAAAAATCTTTTCAACTAAGTGTTTTAATGAAAAAATTTTTAATTAAAAACTTTAACTTGCATAATTAAATAGATTTTGAATAAATTTAAATTTTAAATATGAGATTAGTTAGATTATCAAACAAATTTTTTATATTAAGTACTATAATATAATTTTTTAATGTACTTAAATAAGTTATCAAACACACCCTTAAAGTTATTAAATAATTTTTTTCAATTCAAAAATTAAATTAGTGAATAATACTCTAACAATCATTTCATATACACTCTCTACAATATAGACTCTTTAAATACAACCCTTGGCTGAATTTTTTTTATAATTTAATTATAACAAGGAGGTAATTAAATTAAATTAAATTGGAAGCACCATTCAGGCCTTTACCCCAGTCAGCAAGAATATACTTTCCCTAAGGCAATATATAATTCAGGGGTCCCACAACAACAATTATTAATAAACTGCCACCGTATTCTAAATTTTCAGTTCTGCAGTTAAATTCATTCTGAACTTCATTTCAGAAAGCCAATGACCGTACTGCTGATGTCATAAACACGATCAGATGGACCAACCTTTTCTAGGATTTTACTAACTTCAGTATCAGGGATCCCTAAATTATTCATGAGATTTCCTAGTTACTAGAAAAATCATTTATAATGTTTTTTGATATTCATATTTAATGTCTGATATATTGGAAAAAACGCCCCTAAAAATAAATTTTCGACGTGACATATAATGTCATGTTGAAATGAATCCAAAATCCAAAAGATCCACCCAATCTTTTATCAATAATGGTGTCCGCTAGTAAAACAACATTCTACTTAAAATAAAAAGTAAAAAGTAAGTGAAAAAGAAAGACATAAATGGATATAGAAAGATGTATCATTAAAATTTCTCGACATAAAAACTCAATCTTGATTTATTCATAAATTAATTCAAAAATACTTCTTCTAATCAACAAAAAAAAATCATAGGAATGATGAAATAAGCATTCATATAAAGACTCTTATACCAAAACCAAAAATAAGCCATTATTATTCAATACATACAGCAATTAATCATTTCCCATGTCTCAACAATTTATCAATATCCGAATAAGTACAGTTACAGCAGGTCACGGCTATGTTCCTCTTTTTTTTCTTTTTTGTCACGGGTAATTCACTATTATTGCCTGTGGGGAAACCAAAGCTTTTTTCACAACTCCAGCATGGAATATTTATTAGTTTTTTTAAAAAAAGTATGACATTGTATCTTTTCAAGGATCCTTCTCAAACACACATATATAACGGGATGTTTTTATTCATGTATTAAAAAAGTACTTCCTGATTTGTTGTAGATGCCACCACCAAAAATAAATTGTTAAAAGTGAGCCTGGTGAGGACTTCAAATAAGGATAGTGGTTAGCGGAACTGTTGGCTGGATGATACTCTTTTAGTTTTATTGAAATGAAGTCTATTTTCAATTAAATGGTATAACCCTCTATACAATTGGCTTACTTTCTTTTTTATTTATTAAAGAATCATTTTAATTCAAAACGTAAGTTATTGGAAACGATTTTAAAAATAATTTTACATGAACTGTCCAAACTATCACTTCAAAAGCAAAGTCGTGACTGATTTTTTTTTTTAAATTTATTTAAAACAAAAAGTTGTGAGTTTTTAAGTTATTTGATCATTAAATGTTTCGTAACATATCAAAGAAATATTTGAAATCAAAATTTTTAAGTTATTGCATGAATTTTTAAGAATAATTTTATAGTAATTTTTTAACATTAATTCATTCTATTGATTGCGCTAAACTAATATAAAAAAATGCTCTTAAAATTAATGTAAAAAAAAAACTTAAGTTTAATTTGTATACAAATTAATTCGAAAAGACTTTAATTATCTAAAAACCAATCAATCGGATGAAAAGAAAAGCATCTATATATAGATTCTATAGTAAATAAGACATGTGAAAAAAAAGAAGTTATTGTTATTCAATAAACCGAATAGTTAACCGTTTTTCATTTACGGAATAAAATTGAAAAGATCAATTTTAAAAAATAAAAATAATATAAGTTAATATATATATTCATTCTACAATATAAAAATATATTATATATGTTTCATAATTGTCAAGTTGTATTGGTTTTTCATAATCTTTACACTTAATTCAATAATAAAATTGATGAAAAGAAACTAAAAAAAAGAGGCAGGCATGCAAGCCTGGGCTTGCAAAAGCTGGCTTAATGCAAGCAAGTGCGCTTGAGCATGTACCAACTCAGGAGAGCAAAAATATTATTTTAAAATATTAGATACAAAATAAAATATGATATAAAATTTGAATATGAATGCTTAATAACAATTTAAAAATCATAAAAATATCACCTTTGACTAAGTGATATGAGTGGAAACAGTAAAAATCAATGTTCATTTTCCAATCTCTTTTAATTGTTTTTGTATAATGTATAATAATACTCCAGGCAGTACATTTCTTCATTCTTTATTAATTATGTTCAATGTAGGAATTTCTAGAATTTTCAAACTACAATTTTAAATCACCTTAAACTATAATTAATCGCAAATTATTGAAGCTCCAACCTGAACCATATTTTGCCGATGTTCGCATGAGATACGACCCATGTTAATGATCGGTTTAACCCACCAAACAATATATTGGCTTGCTTACTTTTTTTCATTTATTAAGTTCATATTTGAAGTTATTAAAGACATATAAATTTAAAATTTAAATTATTGGATAGGTTCTAAAAATAATTTTATGTAAATTCTATAAAATACCTTCTTAAATGCAAACTGCAAACTCCTGGCTGTTTGTAATTTAATTTAATTAGAACAAAAAAGGAGGTAGGTTTCAAACTCCCAACTATTGATTATTAAAACTCTAATAATATATTAAAAAAATATTTTAATTCAAAAAATTAAACTATAGCAATAATATTGTATAAAAATGGATTTATTATAACTCTTCAACCTGAGCAGGCATTAAAAAATAATTTATTTTATTAAATAGATATAAAAAGATGCATCATTAAAATTTCTCTATAAAATAATTCAGTCTTGATTTCTACATAAATTAACTCAAAAATACTTCTAATCATTGAAAAAAAAATCCTAGAAATGATGAAAGGAGCATCCATATAAAGGCTCCTATACTAAATAAGATATATAAAACAAAAATAAGCTATTATTATTCAAAAGCACAATAGTTAACCATTTTTCATTTTCAGAAAATTTATCAATATCTGAATGAGTCCAATTACAAAATATCACGGCTTTATTCTTTATCTATTTATTTATTTATTGTCATAGGTTCATTCATTATTATTATCTGTATGAAAAACAAAGCTTTTTTAATAACTCCAGCCTTGAATATTTATTAATAAAAAACAAAGATAGATGGTCGTGGTAGTATTTTTTAAAAACAACACTCACCCACACACACGCACACATGTGTATGCCTTTAACACCTCCTGATAAACCAAAAGGAATGGAAAAAGAAAACGAATAGCATCTCAGAGCTCAACCCATTAATTTTACGCCTACGTTCATCTTGATCCCTAAGCATATCTTGCAGATACAGATATGGAAGCACCATTCAGGCCTTTAACCCGGTCAGGAAGAAAAATATTTTCTCCAAGGGAATATATAATTCAGGGGTCCCACAACACCAATTAGTAATTTTTTTTATACTAACATATTAATAGTATGTTAGATTAGTAATTTTCTTTTTCAAAAATTTTGGGAGGCCATGGCCCATGCATGCCCCGCATCCTCCGCCCTTGGCTATATATTTACACCCTCGTGCTCTAGGTTTCTCAAACATCGACCAAGTGAGCTCAAACACAATTCAAAATGAGAGTTTCAGCCTACACAGTTATCCTTTTGTTGTTGTCCCTTTCGCTAGGAGAATCACAAGAGCAATGCGGTAGTCAAGCTGGGGATGCTGTGTGTCCAGGAGGTTTATGTTGCAGCCAATATGGTTACTGTGGAACCTCAGATGCTTATTGTTGTGCAGGCTGTCAAAGCCAGTGTCGTAATTGTTCAGGTGGCGGAGGAAGAGTTGTAGGTGGGGGTGGGGGTGGGGGTAATGGATACCTTAGTCATATCATCCCAAAAACACAAGAGCAATGTGGTAGTCAAGCTGGGGATGCTGTGTGTCCAGGAGGCTTATGTTGCAGCCAATATGGTTACTGTGGAACCTCGGATGCTTATTGTTGTGCAGGCTGTCAAAGCCAGTGTCGTGATTGTTCGGGTGGCGGTGGCAGAAAAGTTGTAGGTGGGGGTGGGGGTGATGGATACCTTAGTCATATCATCCCAAAATCACAGGAGCAATGCGGTAGTCAAGCTGGGGATGCTGTGTGTCCAGGAGGTTTATGTTGCAGCCAATATGGTTACTGTGGAACCTCAGATGCTTATTGTTGTGCAGGCTGTCAAAGCCAGTGTCGTAATTGTTCGGGTGGCGGTGGAAGAGTTGTAGGTGGGGGTGGGGGTGATGGATACCTTAGTCATATCATCCCAAAAACACAAGAGCAATGCGGTAGTCAAGCTGGGGATGCTGTGTGTCCAGGAGGCTTATGTTGCAGCCAATATGGTTACTGTGGAACCTCAGATGCTTATTGTTGTGCAGGCTGTCAAAGCCAGTGTCGTGATTGTTCGAGTGGCGGTGGCAGAAAAGTTGGAGGTGGGGGTGATGGACTCTTGAAGTTGAAGGGCATAATGTAATTTGATACTACTAGAGCTAGTTGTTTGTCTGCTTCAAATTAATAAATAAATAATACAAGCAGACTTAGTGTAACAGTTGTCTCGGCAACTAGCTTTCTTAATAAAACATCCATTACGTAGCCTAATAGATTCATTGAGTTTTCGATGAATAAAAAAAAAATTAATAAATAAAGAATTTCTAGAGTCTGAGAATGCACTCTCTCCAAAGAAGAGACATTAACAAAAAAAAAAACTAAATTAAAATAATTGTTTACTGTTGGTTTACTATTTCAAACATTGTTGATTGTGAGCGAAAAAACTGTGGATATAGACTCAGTTGGACTGCTCCTTTCACTGTTTGGGCTAGATTGTTGCACCGTTGCCCTTTGTTTTTTCCTCAGTTCTAATGTTTTCTTCATGACCGTTTGATTCTTCTTGCACTTTTTTTTTGTTTATTAATTCTACTATCGTATTTCTCTTTTTCTTCCCCCCCCCCTCTGTTCTGCTATTTCTTTTTTTGCCTCTGGTCCGTTTGTTCTTCATTTTTCTTCTTGTTTAATCTGTAAGAGAAATATCTAAATTTATATTATCAAATACTCCGTATGACTATCCTTCAAAATATCTCAAGACGTTTACCTCACTATGAATCCCAAACGGGATATGAAGAAGTTTGAAAATTTGTGTTTGAACACTGATCTAAATTGTTTAGATAGAATAATTTTTTTAAACACTAATATGTTTGGTTCCTTTGCGAAAACCCCGAAGAAAAACCCTAGCCTCCTCCTTGCTTAACATTCACCAAAAGCAGAGAGCCACCATCTCTGGTTGAAAAACCCTAAACCTAAAAAATGAGAGTAGAAGCTGTGAATCCAAAAGCATACCCACTTGCAGATGCCCAGTTGACAGTGACAACACTTGACCTTATTCAACAAGCTGCTAATTACAAGCAACTCAAAAAAGGACCCAATGAAGCTACTAAGACACTTAACAGAGGCGTCTCCGAGTTTTTTGTGATGGCTGCTGTACTGAACCACTTGAGATTCTGCTCCATCTTCCTTTGCTTGCTGAAGATAAGAATATGCCCTATGTATTTGTACCTTCAAAGCAAGCAATTAGCCGAGCTTGTGGTGCTACAAGACCTGTCATTGCTTGTTCTATGACAACAAATGAGGGGAGTCAATTGAAAACGCAAATTCAACAACTCAAGGATGCCATTGAGAAACTTTTGATCTGATTGTTCAGAATGCAATTTCGGTGTGATGTCCTTTCTTTGGAGGCTTTGACTGATGAAGTTGTACCCTGCCACCAGGAACAAATCATGTTTTTGACCTTTTTTAAGATTTTTATTATCTTTTGTTTTTTCACCGTATAACTGCTAAAACTCGGGATGAATTGTATAATGTTCAATATGAGTAGTTTGTTTGTTGTGGTTTAAATATTGTTTTGAAGGCTTTTACACTGAAAAAAAAAATTGTGTTTGAACGCGTATTTTATATACACACGTAAATTACATTAATTCTTGAGAATGGAACTAAAAATACCCAAGACGTTGGCCAACATCTCAAAATGAGGGTTTTTTTTTTAAAAAAAAAAAACTATCACATATTTCCGGACTTCAAAACTTTCCTTCTTTTTTTTAACTATGTATAGTTCAGCATACTGTTTTGCTTTATATATTTAATGCTCTCACATTAGTATATTTGTCCATATTTGATTTGTTAGAAAGTAATATAACATTATTTTTATAATTTTATTTAATAGTTTAATTTTTTAGATAAAATTATTTTATAATTAAACAGTTACAAGTTTTCATTTGATATGATGTATTAAAAATTAATATAAAACAATTTATGAGATTTCATAATAATTTAATTTCTTAAATTGAAATGGTTATTTGACACCCCAATAATTTTCATTTTGAGAACCTGCCATGCATGGTCCCTAAGTTTGATTAATTGTGTTGTTTTGTCTTGGAAATTTCAAGTTTTATTGGTGGAGTTTCCACCTTAATTAGTTGTCCCAAACTTCACTGGCTGAATTTAGGATCAAAATTGTAACAATGATTTCACTAATTGTGTAATATAACAAAGATGGAAAATGGAGATACCGTGAAAGTACAAACTAATTGTTTATGTTGCTATTAGATTTTCGACAAGACTCTTAAAAATTTAATATTGTTTCATTTGAATTATTTATGATTTATTATGGAAATGTGAGTTATTATTGGTTTTGGGAGTTGCCACCTAGTATTGTAGGAATTAGAAACTTAAAAATAACACTAGTTCGAAATTCTAGGATAAGGAATTGGTTACATTTTTAGGAAGACGTTAATCATCCACGTCTAATTTAGTCTTAAAATTTATCTCTTCAAAAAATCTCTATTTTTGCCAAAATTAATCATAGTCGAAATTCTAAGTGTTTTTTTTTTTATGTCAAACTAACTTGTTTTATTTTTGTTTGTGGCATCGTATTGGATCAATTGTCGGATCCTATCACGACCCCAAGAGTGGGCCATGACCAACACAATAATCAAGGGGATTGTGAGGCCAACCTCGACCTAAACAAGCCTCGAATACTAAATTAAAATCCTTAAATCATGATCACTCAAGTATCATTTCAATTAACATTATCATAACTTTAAAAACATTTCTTACAACCTCAATACGATTTATAATTTAATTCCTAATACACTACCTACAACTATAACCATGTAGAGTATCTAAGAATACATCAAATCAAACATATAGAGGTTCTAAGGAAAGTATAATCAAAGTAAGTCACATGACAAAAATGTCGACTTCAAGCAAGCGATCAAAGGAAGCAATAAGTAATCCCTCAATATCCTATAAATTTGGAATAATAAGGGGTGAGCAATCAATAGCTCATTTAGTAGATATTATACAACGTACTCAAGGGAAGGAAAACGGACTAAGAATGATACTCTCAAATCCATGTCAAAATTCAATGCTAATTTTTCAACACAATGCATATTATAAAACCAAATCGTATATCACATTTAAATGCTTCAAAATCATTTTCATATTAAATTATTATAAGATTTATCATACATATATCGTATTCATACAAAATCACATATATATTGGTTTTTATATACCCGTGAGGTAATAACGTATCATTGGATGCGAACATCTAAAGGTCACGTCCTTCGTGACTAGGTTTTCATATGTTGGCTAACACACGGACTAGCACTACACCTCTCTTGCTAGCTGAAGTCTCGTATCATTGAGCTCAAAGGCTACCCCTCCGATAGCTAGGTTCCTTAGGGTCTCAAAAACTAGACATACCCATATATTTTTCAAACCGATATTTCAAACACCATGTACTCATTTTCATAAATTATACATAAAATCAAAATAACGGTTATAACTCATACATGTTCGAATCTAAAAATACATCTCAAATGATTCTCATTTATCCAACACATTGAAATCTCTTTTTCCATTCATATCAAATCATTTTGATACGAAAATGTTTCAAATATTATGAAGTTCGTTTCCATCTAAGTTCTAATAGAATGTTTTTAAATCATACTTAAATCAATGATGCATGGTAGACATGATTCAAAGAAATTTAAAATACGAGTATACTATAAAATACTCGCTCATAGTACAAATGAAGGATCAAAATAGAATCCAAGATAGATGAGATGGAGTCGCTCGCTTTGAAGAATCTAGCATCACAAAGTGATGATACATCCACCAATACCATAAATCAAAGAATAATTTTAAAAAATAAATTATTCTTGAAATAAGAATACAAGATTATTGAATAAAATAAGAAGACTCGAATAGAAAAACTTATCTAGATTCTATAATCTATCAATTGATTCTATATAATCTTTAATTCGATGAGTTTTCAATTAAATGATTGATTGCATTTCAATTCACCCAATACTCATTCCATTAATCTTCAATTGTATTTACATAGCTTAATTCCTCATTTTCTCCAAATTTCCTTTCAATTAAAACCTAAATTCAAATTTATCACTATTCATCATCTTCAACCTCTCAATTTCTTAAATTCACTCAATTATATTTCAAATTAATTTTTTAATTAACTTACCCAAGATAATTAAACACGATTCAAGTCATTATAATCATTAAGAATCACTTTTTTCCAAATGGGTCTTAAAGTCCTAACCTTATTCTAATCAATTTCTCAAGCATTTAACAAACCCAAAGCAATTGCATTTTAATATCATCATCAACCATATATAAACTTCACAATTCAAAGATCAATGGATCAAAAATCGTATCTTTATATTACTCTCTTGAAATCCTAAATTCTTCCTATTTCTCCAAGCTTCTCAAGCTTCAAGCTAGTTAGACTCCACTTAAATCTTCTAAATTATGGTTGTCCTAAGCTAATTTAACAAGGAATTAGCTCGGGAATCAAATTGAGAATTTAGGAGAAACTTTTAAGAGAGAATACGTGAGAGAAAAAGAGAAGAAGAAAAGAAAATTCTAGAAATAGGGATAGTTATCGCTCTATACCGACTCTATTTTTTAAAGTTATTCTATTCTCTCCTCTTAAAAAAATTTATCCTTAAATTTTAATTCTACTTGAACCTAAATAGATGAATAAATGAGGATACTTCTTTTTCATTTCCCTCTCGACCTCCCAAATAGATTCTTCGATTGAATGGTTTTTCCAACTAACCTTGACGGACACAATCTCCTTATTTCATAATTTCTTAACCCGATGATCTACTACCGCCATCAATTGCTCCTCATAAGATAAATCGAGATTTAACTCCACCAATTGTAGTTTTAAGACATAATATGGGTCGGTATTGACTTCTTTAGCATGAAAATATGGAACATTAGATGCACACTTGAAAATTATGATGGCAACGTCAACTCATAAGCCACGACTCTAATGCGACCTATAATCTCAAACGATCCAATATATCTCGGGCTCGGCTTTTCATTCTTGCCAAACAACACTACTCCTTTCATCGGAGGAACTCTAAAAAACACAAAATCATAATTTTGAAACTC